TATTTTATATCATAAATATGTAATAAACCAAAATTTATAATTAAAATCGCTGCAGAAAACACATTCAATCGCTAAAAAATCACTACGAAGAGGTAGAAGACGGTGTAAACAAAACCGAAAAACGTCAAAAACGCTACGAAAACTTTTTTCTGAAAATCGATTACAAATACAACGATGGCTGATTAGGTGATCTGTAGTCGTTGGTTCATGGTATTGAGAGGACAAAATTCTCCAGCAGAAAAAGTTCTGAGAATTTAGCAGCATTCGATATCAAAGAGACGAAATATCAACAGAAGTACGAGAACGCAAAATTTGCAAAAACTTGCAACCTTCGAAACAGCTGATCATTTGCACAGTTGCCACTGGTGATTAATTTGGCAATTTATTTTCTGCTTGGTGCATTTTCCCCCGATTTGGCATTTTATACAATTGAATAGTTTTGGATAAGAAAAACCTTTTTAAAATACCAATTAATTATATCGGAATGCATAAGTTATTTTTCTCATAATTATTTCTGATATCACATGGTGACGCATTAAAAACAAGAGTATCTCCTCCAAACACCCATCTTCGATCCAAAATAATGTAATAGAGTAGGTTTAAAATTATAAAATTTTCATTTCAACAATCAACCTACCAAAACCGATAACTTCAGCAAAAAACATTTCAGCATGCTTCATTTAAATCTATTTTGGTATATTTGAAGGAAATTTATGGTACAAACGAAAAATGTCATACGGCAACCATGGTCAGCACGCACTAAAGTAAACAAACTGGAGATTAATAGCAAATTAACGAAAAATAAACTCAACAAACGTTGTGCTTATTAAATTTACGCACTTTTTAGTTATATAGCATTAATAATAGAGCTCTAGATACCCGGGTATCGAGCAATGCGAGTAGCTCGATACTCGCTCGAAACTCGTTCATTGCTCAACTGCTCAAATGTTTGTTCAAAATTTTCGAGTTTTTGAACAATTTCATAAACAAAAGAAAATTTCTAAATTGTATTTGTCAGCAGCTGCTGTCTAATTCATGTTATATTAGTTGCGATCCCGTACGAGTCCGGACTAGTCAGAAATAGTCAGAATCAGTCAGATTTTACTGGAAATCGATCCCGTACTCGGTTCTCTGACTATTGAGAGGACAAAAAAGAGAGTAAATACGGTTCTCTCTCTGTCAGAAGTTACCAGTTTTAGTCCGAGAATTTTTTGCTGGTAAATTCTGGTAATGTGTCAAACGATCAGCTGTAGTGTGTTTGGCAACCAAATTGTAAACAAAAGAAAAGTGCACTCTGCTAATTCATGTTGAAAAGTATTTAATTACTTGTTTAAGTGGATCCTAATGAATTTGAAAGTATTTTTGGTTATTTACATGTGTGAGCTGAGTGTGTTTACATACAAACCAAGCAAAAATTTACAACCAAAATTTGGAGGTTATGTTGAAGTTGACAGAAGTTACAATTTTTTACTAGAAAGCGATCCCGTACTTTTCAATGTTACTCTCTCGCTCTGAGCGAATTTTAATTTTTTGACAGTTTTACTAGTCCGAGTCCGAGGTATACGGGATTGCACCTATTATTAAATACTAGTGTAACAAGCTTTGCATTATATATCAATAATAAGAAAAATTTTAAAATGTCAATATGATAAAAAAAACATTGCTCAAATTACTCGAAAAAACTCGAATTGCTCGAGCTCATGATCGAAAATTTTCGAGTAATGAGCATTGAACAAGTGTGCGAGTACTCGCTGCTCATATACCTGGGCTGTTTGAAAATGTGCGAACAAAATCGAGAGCTCTAATTAATAATAAAATTTGCAATAAATAACTCAAAAAGGCCATATTTTCTTTTGTTTATTTACAAACATGTGTTTGTGATCAGCTGATTTTCTTGCTTGCAAGTTTTAGCTGGGAAAAATTTTTCCAGCAGAAATTTGCAGCTCTCTTTCACATTTCGCTCTCTCAATTTCCCCTACTTTGTAGGTTTTTTGGGTACGAGAACGCAAAACCAGTAAAAGTTTTCTAAAAGTTTAGATAGTTGGGCGTACGAGTACACTCCTATAAATCTGGGTCGTTCCGGTTACGTAGACCCGACTGTCGTGGGTCTCACCAAAATTACTCTCACGAATTCTGCTGCAATCGGCGCAGTCTTGTATTCTATCATTCTTGGGACCAAACCAATTGTTTTTAAGCGATGGAGTCATAATTAAAAGAGTAATTTCTCAGTTTTTCGCAGTTAACCTCCGAAATCGAGATATGAGCCTTGGAAGTTCGAAATTGGACCTTTGGTAAACAGATACTTTTAATTATTGTATGTAAACAACGAAAAAAGTAAAAATATGGCCGCGGTCCGCCTTTTGCTCTTATTTAAACGGTATATAACTTTTTTTGTGCAAACTTATATTACAGGTGCTATAGGGGGTGAAAGGCCAGATCTGCGAAAATTAAAAAGCATTTATTTATAAAAATGTTGAACAGATTTTTAAGTGCTATAATATAAGTTTGCACAAAAAAAGTTGCATACCGTTTAAATAAGAGCAAAGGCGGACT